GACAGTTATGGATGAATGGGGAAGGATGGGAAAGGGAGGATCAAATAGGGAGGAGAGGAAAGAGGAGGCAAGAGAGGGAATACTGGGAGGGATGGCTAAAACTAAGTGCTATTTGAAAGGTCATATGGAAACCTAATACAGTAGAAACTTCTTAAAATACAACTTGTATAAAATAATTCTAAATTGGAATCACCAATAACAGGGGAGACAAAGCCCCAACTAGACATCTGTCACCACCAAATGAAACCACCAGTGCTGGAATGGATTAGATCTAATCTAATTTTGTTGTTGGCCAAAGAGACCCCATCACAACACCTAAATTACCCAGGCTATTGCCAAGGCTGTTGGTTGCTCTCCACAAACTGATGGTAAGTTCTTACTGTTGAAGACAACACCCACATAACTCACTGAACATGGAGAAGTTGAGCTGGTGCCTATGTAGAGTCTTCACCCCTTCTGAATAGCAGTGTTAATACTGGAAAGTACTCTGTGCCCGGCCGGGGGAAAAAGTTAAACACCAAACTAACTACAAAACCTGCTATAAACACAAGTTTCTGTCCCCCACACTGCTTCCAAATAACTTCTCAGAGGCTTAATATTAATTACAAATGCTGGGCCTATAGCTCAGGCTTGTTGAAAGCTAACTGTTACTTCTAAATTAACCCATATTTTGTGTCTGTGCTTTGCCACTTGGTAACTTTTCTCAGTATAGCATGTCCATCTTCTTCTCTCTGCATCTGCTCAAAAGTCTCCAGCACTTCCTCTTCACAACATTCTCTCTATCTCAGGCCACCTCACCCAATCTCTTTCTGCCCAGATATAAGCCAATCAGCTTTTTATTAACAATGAAAACAGTGCATATTTACAGTGTAAAGAGATTGTTCCACAGCATTTCCCTATTTTCATCTAATTAAAAAAGAGTATTTTAACTTTAACATAGTAAAATTATATACAACTAAAACAGTTATCAGGTAAGAATTACAGTTACAGTATTAGTCCATCTGTATTTTGTAAAATTAGAGAAAATAATCTATCATGTATCTTATCTATGTGAGTCTAAAGTTTTATACCTAATTTACCTTTTATCAAAACTAAGGAAGGGTATAAGTTTAACTATTTAGTCTTTAACTCCATCAAAGATCCTAGAAGTATGAAATGTTACCTAACAACAGGGATGTCTGACTTCCTGGACAGTCACCCAAATTTCTTCTGTAACATTGGGGCCTCCAACTTTGCC